TTGAGCTCTGAGCAACAGCGGTTCGAGTCCAGCCCGAGCTGAGCAGCCGCTGAGCTGCCAACAGGTAGCAGGATGGCTCAGCTAAAAAAAAAACCTCTTAACCAAATGAGGCCGGAGGGCCTAGCAACATCAAAAAATGCCTTTTAAAATTAATATCATTATCCTTATATATTTCTTATCTCAGGACACCTTATATCAGTAGCTTTTTTTAGTGCTCTGCTGTTAATGTGTGTTTGTTTATGGAGTTGATAATATAGGTTGGTATAGCTGAAGCTACTGAGAAGTGGTCAGATTCTGGATATTTTGAAGGCTTGATCTAACAGTATTTATTGATGGGTTGGATATGGGGGTATGAGAGAAAGGAGCCCAAGATGACTTCAAGGCTTCTGATCTGAGCACCTAGAAGGATGGAGTAGCCATTAATTGAAATGAGGAAAGCCTGTAGAGAAGAGCAGATTAATAGGATTGAAAGATAGTAGTTAGTTCTGGACATGTTGTGAGTTAGGTGTCTCTTAGACCTCCAAGTCTAGCTATTGTGTGATCAGTTGCTTATGTGAACCTGGAGTTCAGGGATGAATTTTGGCTGGAGATTATAAATGTGGCATAAGCATCTAGATAGTATTAAAAACCATGAATTTGGATGTGGTCACCCAGGAAATGTGTGTAGCTTAGAGAAAAGGTCTAAGGTCTGATCCCTGCAGCCCTTCAACGTTTGTATTTTGGGGAGATGAGGAACTAACAAAGGGGACTGAGAAGAACGAGCTAGTGAGGTGAGAGAAAAACCAAGAATGTGGTATCTCAGAAGTCAAGTGAAGTAAGTGTTCACAGAAGGATGGTCAGTTATATCAAACTTTGCAAGTAAGATGAGGACTGAGAGTTGACATTTGATTGTGGCAACATGGGAGTCATTAGTGACTTGGACAGAAATGGTGGTAAAAGCCAGATTTGGAGAAGATTTCCAGAGAGTGGGAAATGAGGAATTTGAGATAGCCATTAAATACAGTTTTTTTGAGCAATTTTGCTATAAAAGGTAGCAGAGAAATGGGACAATAGCTAGAAGGTGTAATCAAGATACATTTTTAATTTAAATTTTAAGGGAGAAATTATAACATACTTGTGTGCTGATAGGAAAGATCCATGTATCAAAGGGAAATTGTTGCTGGACCATGTATCCTTGAGTAGGAGAGAAGGGATGGCATCTAGCTAGTGATAAGTTAACAGTATGAGGTACATGTTCATTCATACATTCATTCAGAATTGAGCAGCTGTTAGGTCCCAGGCACTGTGCTCAGTGCTGGGAATAAAATGAGAAACAAGTTGTGAGTTCTCTGCTGACATGGAAATTGAACCCTCTTGCTGGTGCTATTCCCAGATGAGGATATTGAAACTCACTGATGAAGAAACTTGCTCAAAGTAACTAAAATGTAGATTTGATTCCAATGTAATTTGAAACTCACCGTTTCTCACATTTTTCCTACCTTCATAGCTATCACCCTGCTACGCCAAGCCACATCATCCTTTGCTTGGATTGTCCTATTAACCTGACCAGTCAGCCTGTTTCTCCATACAGTCCATTTTCTCCAGCTGCCAGAATGAATCTTCTTTTTAGAACATAAGTCATACCCAGTCATTGTTTGCTCAAAACTCTCTGATGTCTTCCCAACACATTTGAAATAAAACTCCAAACGCCTAACCATTGTTTTAACTTAATCTGGCCCCTGTTCTCTTTCTCAACACTCTCGTGTGTGAACTCTGTATTCCAGTTACTGGCCTATTTACTGTTCTTCAGCTATGTCAGTGGTACTCCCATCTTTTTCTACTTGTTTCCTCACATTGCGATGCTGTTTCCTCAGATTTTTACTTAATTTTCTCTCTTAGGTCTCAGCTCAGATTCACCTCCTTAAGGAGGCCCTCCTAATTAAAATACAGACTCTTCTTCATCATTTATGCCCTTTCCTTGCTTTTTTGTTAGCCTTTAACACTCCTGAAATCATATTGTTTATTTTTTTATTTTTATTTGTCCCTATTATTAGAATATAAGCTTCATGAATGCCTTAGACCTTCTCTGTGGTGTTCACTGTATCTCTAGAACTTTAGAAGAATATATGGCACATGAGTCCGAGGTGTATGCAATTCCATGTCTCATGAAGGGTTGGTTTGTCTCCTGAGAGGGAACCAGTTGTCTGTATAGGCTAGGCCTTATGCACTGGAGAGACTTCAAGCTGATACTTAAAAGATTAATTGGATATGGGTGGGAGTGGGGGGGGGGATTAAAAATATCTGAGATTTTTTTGATTATGGGAGTATTATTTCCTCAGTCATCTTGCGGGGGCAGCAGAGATAATGTTCTTCCAGGAGAAATGACGAAAAATCAGAGGAGCCGGTTGACAACGGTGGGTTTTAGTTATTTTGATTTTTGCAAAAAGGAATCGTTATAAACATATCTTTATTGTGGAATATTTATTAAATATAAGGAAGAAATAAAATTCAAACATTTTTTATGCATTGATAACTACTATTATTCTGATACATAGCCACCCTTATCCATACATCTGTATTCAAAAAACAAAATTTAGCACCATTAGACTTATTGATGATTTGAGGCAAAATCTGGACAATCAAGAGGAAATGTTTTAATAGGCAATTGGAGATATAGAATTAGGTCTTGGGGTGTGGACCTGGGAGATGACTGTATAGTTGTAGGCTTTGGGAATGGATGTGATCTTTAAAATTGAAGAAGAGAAGATAGAGCCATAACTTTGGGAAACAGATTATTATTAGATGGATAGAAGAATCACCATGGAAAAGCTAGAGAAGTAATTAAAGGTAAGAAGACCAGGTTAGCGAGGGTTCTGAAGACTTAAGGGAAGATTTTCAGAAGGTAGTGTCACCAGTTTTAGTGCTTGTTGAGGAGGTAAGGATGATGAGACTGAGGAAGGACTTGATTTTGGTCATTAGAAATCTATTAGTGACATTTGGGCATACAGTTTAGTGTTAAAGGAAGAAGACTATTTTAGAGAGTTAAAGAGAACATAGATAAATGCCAAGTGCTTTTCAGAGTGTTTCATTAGAAAGGTGTTTCTGTAGGGATATCATTCAGATGATGCCTTAAATGTCTTATACTTCTCTGTAGCTGCACAGTACTAGATGTGTTGAAAAGAATATTGGTGAAATAAAATATGGGGCACATGTTTAAAGCATGTGCTAAAAGTCAAAGGAAAGATATGTAAGCCAAAGTAAGGGTTTTTTGTTTATATTTTGTTTTGTTATGGGAAATTTGGCATGCGTGAAGACAGGAAGGAACCAGTGGGAAGGAAAGGATACACTGAGCAAAATAGAGTTGAAGAAATAAAGGTCTGTAATTATTTCTAGAAGGTAGTGAGAAGAAATGGGCTTATTTATTAGGGTTAGGAGTTGACCTTGGAAAGGAAGTAAATCTCTTTCTGGGAGGTATAAAGGAAAGAATTGAAAATAGATACTGAGAAAAGTTTTTAAGGCTGAGAGGAAAGAATATGAGGAAACCAGTAACTTTCCCAGATGATTTTAGAATGAGATTTAGTGAACGAGGATTGGAGACTTTAAGGCAGTAGAAGAATTGTATGAGAATCATGATAGAAATTCAAAAGAAGACCTCAAGTTTTACTAGATAGCAGTGAAGGTGAATCTGATTGTTTTGAAAAGGATTGTGTTAAGGTAGCATAACTGTTATAGAGCTTAACATCAGAAACTTAATATCCTGTATAATTTTGACGTTTTTTGGATTGCTATTATTATTCCTTAATCAGGCCATTTTTCAGAATATGAAATATTGATATAGAAGAGTTTGACTAGAAAATTCATCTCTCATGCAAACACTAATTTACTCTTTAAGACTGTATGTATTGCAAATGTTTTAACATAAACGATTGTTCTTAATGTTGCTGACATGATGGAAACTTTAAGAAAATTGTGGTCTGATAATAAATACTGAGAGGGTTTGTGATTATTTAATTCCAATTTATCATTGTATATTATAATTTAATCTTGTATAATTTTAATTAAAATAAAACATCAAATCTTCATATGGTGAAGAATTTTTTTCATACCTTAAAATGTAATATTCTGATAGAGAAAGGAATGGATTGAAACACTAGTTTTAAATAGCAGAGATCTTAGAGTTCAGAAAACTTGAGGAAGACCACGTCAACCTTTCATTCAATTGTTTTTATAACAACACAGACATCATATTTTCATGAAGGCACATACATGCCCTTTATTTTTTTGAGAAAAAGACAAATTATAAATATTCAAATTCTGGTTAGTATAAATTTTGCATTCTTTTATTAATCAGTTTCCATTTTTCAACATAGAATATTCTATGTTGGTGACTCTAAAATCATTATAATATAAACTAGGGTTAGCTCTGCAAGATTCAAATTGCCCCCACTCCTTCTTAACCATCTTTGTGTCCCTTACCCCCTAAAGAAAAGGCAGCTAGGTTTTATGGCTCTAAAATCAAATGCTTAGATTGGGATTCTAATACAGAGTTTTTATTTCAGGTCTTTGTAGGTAAAATACCAAGAGATTTATATGAGGATGAGCTGGTGCCCCTTTTTGAAAAGGCTGGTCCCATTTGGGATCTACGTCTTATGATGGATCCACTATCTGGTCAGAACAGAGGGTATGCATTTATCACCTTCTGTGGAAAGGAAGCTGCACAGGAAGCTGTTAAACTGGTATGTAATAAAACAAATACCCACTGTCCAGCAAGGCATTATTTGAGAGAATTACCTCAATTAAAACTGTTTGCAGTTAACATTGTTTTATTTTCTTTAATTTTTCCTTTGAATGTTTTTATATTGACTGAATTTGTATGTGACCTTTGCTCTGTTTTTTTTTCCTGATTATAAAAGTATAAAAGAAATGAAAATACCCAGGAAATAATGTGTTAGAGAAAGTCTCCCATAATTCTAAAAAGTTATTCATTACAGTAATTAGTATCTAACGTTTCAGTTGAATATCTGGCTTCTGCAGATCTCTTGATTTTAAACAAAAAGGATGTCAATTCTTGCTGTTAAACTTCAGGATAGGATTCTTAAAGTGTAATGAAGGCTGGGATGGGTTCTGGGAAACAACAATAGGAGACAGTAACTTTAGGACCCAATTCAGGAAATGGTTGTGAATCTTTATTTTTGTAACAGCATAACCATACAATTTGTTTATTTTCTAAGTACACTGTATATTCTATCTTTTTGTTTCCCGGCCCTTCAGTCCTCTCTGTCTTTAATACTTATCTTTTCTATTTTATAACCAGTCTTCTAGTAATTCTTTTCTGTAGGGCCTTTTACTCTGTTCTTATTTCAGAGTAGTAGTAGTAGCAGCAAGTAATAGTAACAAAGTTCTGCAAATTAAGTGTATCTACAATCCTACTGTATTAAGATACAACCATCTCAGTAACTTGAAATAACAATGTCATTGTTTTTTGGCATAACTCTTTTTGCCAGACATCTAAAGGCCTCACTTAGTCTATTTCTAGTCCTTCTAGAACGGTAACCTCTTTCACCAAGGCTTTTGGTTTCATTAGTTACCTCTAAATTAGTTCCACTCCATCTTGAGCCAGATTTTAGTTTCTATTATGGACTTTTGCTTACAGTTTGTTTATTTAATACCGAGAAGTTTTCAAAGCTTTCTACATTTCTGGCAATATATGGATGATTTCATTTTTTAATAACAACTTTTAGTAAATGGGTAAGTAATGTTAAAGCATGAAGCTAAAGTTTATCAAGGAAACTGTCATTTAGTGATTAAAAACATTTTTTATCTCCATCATTTCATATAATTTTGAAAGTATTGTGTTTGATATGCAGTTTAAAACTATGTATATATTTAAAATTCTGTTTTCACATTCTGTAGAATGTGAAGTTCTAAATTTCTTTTGGCATTGATTAAACATAGTTGTTACCTTTATTATTATTATTTTGCCTATGGCTTATCTATATCTAATTTCATTTCCAAGGGCCCTGATTAATCAGTCTCTGGTACTTTTTATGAAATTCTCTGCAAAAAATTTTTTAGATAAAATTGAAATATGAAATAAGATATTTTAAAAAAATGAAGTGAATAACTTTGAGTCATTTATATATGGAGGAGCAGTGAACTAAACTACAATGAGACTAACAAGTTTAAAAGTACCCATTTATATTATGGCGAGCCTAAGGGAACTCTGTGAGTTCTTGAAGCAGGGAGTGTTTGACCTTAAATTGTTGAATATTTTAGATTGAGATCAGTTGTCCTGAGTTTGGGGTGGTTGTGGGGTGTCTGGTTCTTTTCTTCCTTGCAGTGTGACAGCTATGAAATTCGCCCTGGTAAACACCTGGGAGTGTGCATTTCTGTGGCAAACAACAGGCTTTTTGTTGGATCAATTCCGAAGAATAAGACTAAAGAAAACATTCTGGAAGAATTCAGTAAAGTCACAGGTAAAACAAAAATGTATTTAGAAGTTAGTTTTGGGAAATTTGTGGTACTATTGATAAGTGCAAAAAAAAGGAGGTGTATGTTAATCTAAAAATTCAAATGTCTATTCAATGTCTGAATTGTCTCCTTTCTGCTTTATAATGGTTTGGACTAAAGCAGGTTCTCTCATATCCATAATTTCTTGGCATGTTCCCTTCACTTCTTTGCCTTATTAGAACCTTGGCTTTTGCTAGAGCCTTTGTCCTGCAGCCCTCAACTAAAGGCTTTTCCCTTGTGACATTCAGTGTGCTTTAAGGCCAAGGGATGAGAGTTTTTATCTTCTTACTTCCTGTTGCCTCATCTAGATCAGATTTTTCAAATTTTCCAATTCTAAATTCATGGAATTGATTGAGAAGTACATTTGATATGACAGATCTATCTACGTTTATATATAACTGAAACAATTTAATGGAACCATACTTTTACTTATATGTGACTTAGTATGATATTTCCTATTTTATTTCATTTTTTTAAACGATGGTGGAGATTCACTAAATGCCAGCTATGGTTTAAAAAATTGTTTTAGACCATTACTTCCCCTTATAAAAACCATTATTCCTTTATATTTTTTGTCATACAGACACACTGTACTTTTTTCTTCCTTCAAGCTGTTATCTGTTGTTCTTCTGCTTTCAGCCTTTCATTAATTGAAGATTGCTTCTGGCTCACAGTCTTCCTCTTCTGCCCTAAATTGACTTACTCTTAATACTTTTAACGTCTATGTGGATGAGCCATCTAATACCCTAGCCTCCTAGTTTTTTATGACCAACCTTATTTCCAGTCCTTTTTTTCAGCTCCTCCACATCCAGATCATATTCGGGATCTTGTTGCCACCCATTGTAGCCACTCTGGAATCTTGACCTCTAGCATCCCACTTTGTAACCACTGCCACTATCCATCATAATTGTGTTGGTCAGATACCCCTAATGGCACAGTTCTTTGACCTCATCACTGTTTTATTACCTACCAGCTCCTTTCTGGCTTCTTATCCATTTATTCATTCTCCAAATGTTTATCCAGTGCCTATTAAGCGCTGACATTGTGCTATGTGCTGGGGTACAGTGGTCAATAACAGAGACCTGTTCCCTGTCCTTGTAGAACTAACAATCTGGGGAAGGAGATAAGACCAAAAAATTAAATATTTACACATTGTGGTAAGCACTGAAAGAGGGAAATAAAGGGTGTTTAGCTAGAGAATAGCTACTATCCCAGTTTTGATGGTTATGGAAGGCTTTTCATACAAGACATGAAGGAGGAGGATGTAGCATATAAAGAGCAAAGGGATGTGCATTCCAAGAGAGCAACACGTGCCAAGGCTTTAAGGCAAGAGAGAACTTAGTGTATTACAGTTAACAGAAGGCCAGTGTTGTTAAAAGGTAGAATTAGGGGTAGATTTATATGAGATGAAATTGGCAGGGCTTCTGTAGACCATGTAAGGAGTTTGGATTTTATTGTAGGTATAATGAGAAGGTATGTGAAGGTCTTAAGCAGGGAATAACACCTGTTTCATGTTTACAGACTATTATTGCTACTGTTATATGGATAATGGCTTAGAAGGAGCTAAGAGTAGAAGCTTCCATAGGAGTTCAGATTGGACTAGAGCAGCAGGGGTCGGCAAACTTTTGAGACGGAAGAGCCAATCCTATCCCTCAAAACAATTTAAAAATTATTTGAGAGCCGTAAAACAAATGAAATCACCATTATGTGAATAATATCCTTTAAAAATTTTATAAATGAAACTGATAGTTTTATTTTCATTTTCAATTTTACTTCAGAGCCACATGTACATACCCAAAGAGCCGCATTGTGGATCGCGAGCCGCAGTTTGCCGACCCCTGGACTAGAGTAATAACAGTGGAGATGCAAAAGATAGATTGGCTGGGAATTGGGTAGGGGAGATGAAGTAAAGAAAAGAATCAAGAATGAGTCTTGAATTTCTAGCTTGAACCTAGGAGGTGGTACTGTTTATTACATAGGGAAGTCTAGAGAAGACTAATTTTGGGAGTGGTAGTACAGCATTGGACACGTTAAATTTGAAATGTCTTAAGTCTGGGCTAGCAATAAAATCTCAAGCATTCTTAAGGACATAAATAGTATTTAAAAGTAGGAACTAGCTGGTATTATTACCTAGAAAATAACATATCTGGAAAGATGAGGGTACGACTAAGACCAGAGGAACGCCAATATTTAGCAGTTATTTTCATTCTTGGTAAAAACAGTAACTTTCAAGTTAGATCCAAGGACAATTTTTGGTCATGAATAGTTGAATATTATTTCTCTTGGATTTATATTAATAATTTGGTTTTTAAGTTCCTTCGTAGTGTTTTCATAAATTATAGGGTCATGCTGTATCATTCTAAGACATTGTAGAATGTCATGTCAAAATACAATAATTGGACCTGTTGTTTACGGCTGTATCTTCCTGACCCCTAAAATTAAAAGGGAACATAAAATACTGTCCCAAACCTCATATCTATAATGCTGATTTAATTGTCTAGGTTATTAGTGAATCATTTTGAGGCTTCTTCAGTTATTTTTGTTTTCAGCAAGTGGATTTAGGTCTGCCTAGTCGTTAGATGTGTGGTGGATGCTTTTGGCTTATTTATCTGGCTGTTGGTTTAACAGAGGGTTTGGTGGACGTTATTCTCTATCATCAACCCGATGACAAAAAGAAGAATCGGGGGTTCTGCTTCCTTGAATACGAGGATCACAAGTCAGCAGCACAAGCCAGACGCCGGCTGATGAGTGGAAAAGTAAAAGTGTGGGGAAATGTAGTTACAGTTGAATGGGCTGACCCTGTGGAAGAACCAGATCCAGAAGTCATGGCCAAGGTAAATGCAATTGCTTGGGATGGGGGTGCAGTTCTCATTGTACTTAGAATGAAGCTCAACCTTTTTAAGTTTTGTAATAAATACAAAGTGTAGCTCTTGGTCTTAACTATTTAGGCAAGGACCTGCCTCAACACTAAACAGCCTATCTTGGTATCCAGGAATTCCACTAGCCATCCCATTTCCTGCAGATTAAATGTACCAAAAGAACTGAAATGAAATTCCTTTGATTAAGTATTTGTATACACACTGAGAACTTGTTTAGCGCTAGGCACTGTGAGGGATACACAGGTTTTTAAAAAGGGAATAAAGACAAGGTCTTACTGAGTAAAGAGAGAAGTAAAGTTTGGGAGATCATGAACTATAGTCTTCATTGACTATATTGTGACTTTCATTACATGGCCATGAATCATTTTCTTTAGATTGATAGCTAATTTTTCTTTTTTTCCCCAAGTCTTTATTAATGATGAAGCTCCCTTAGAGTATTGTCCCTATGAAGAAAGGCAAAGGGTTATCATGTTTGCTGTTACATGGTACTGGCAAAGTATGCATGGCAAGTCCTGTAGAGGGACCTCCTTTTCCTCCTGTGCCCTAGACTTGCATTGCCAAGATCTTTGCCTGGTAAATAATGGTGCCATGAATCCTGGTTCTTAGGCTTTCCTTTGGGTGACCCCTGGGACTGAAGGAACGCAGACTTGCATCTCTGCTGCTTTTAGTGAGTTTTTGAGTATTTTGGTATATATCTTTTCATTCTCAGGGAGGCAGTAGCGCAATGGATGGCCATAAATTAGTGGTTGGATTCTTCTGGACTGAGAAGTCTTTTCCTCAAGCTTTTCGTTCCAGGTTCTGGAGAGGCAGTCCTCACTTTGATTAGTTTGGAGGGCAGCCCCATTTTATACTACAATGTGATAAAGTTTTCATACACAAAAATATCTTTGGGTGAAGCAGAGAACATCCATTGAGAATGAACCAGAGATGCTCTCAGATGTGCTGCTCAGTATCTGTTTCTCACATCCCTTGAATAGATGGGTATCTAGGACAAGGACTAGGAATCTAAATAGCCCTGATGTTTTTATTTTTTTACTAGGTTGATTTCAATTTCACTTGTTTCTTCTAATACAGTTATGACTTTGGGCAAACTTACTGAACTTGGATGTCATGTTTTCTTGGGGTTGGGTAAATACCTTCAGATTCCTTACAACTTCTTTGACCCTACCTTATAGAAATTAAGTATAACCTATATTGCTTATCCATAAAAGCATTTTAAAGCATTATAGATATATTACACATAGAAGAGGGGAATAAAATCCCCATAAAATCTAAAGTAGAGCTACTAATTTGTTTTTCGACCACTTTTCACATACCTCTGGTAACCTTTCACATTGAAATATATCTTAAATCTTTTTATAGGGTTAGAAAACCAAGACTTTCTTCTAGTAACTATTCTTTCTGGATCAAAAACAAGTTTCAGAATGAAAAAAGAAGACCTTTATAAACTTCTACAATAAAGATTGAATAATCTTGACTGAATAATACTGACTCCTTTATTGTTTTCTAATGGGTAGTTTACCCAATAGAGTAAAGCTTCTGCTCTTATTTCACTCTGTCAGTGTTATAATTTATTGAAGATCTTTTATCAAGTTGGGTCAGTTTTATAATCAAACAGAACCTAAAAGTCTAAATGTATCTTTCTTAACACAATTTCAACAATTTTTATATAGCATGTTATGATTGCATCCCAGAAAAGAAGAAAAGATCCATGTTGAGTTAACAAAAGAAGTAAATCACTGGAGGCCTATCTAATGTAGGGTTAGACCTCACTATTGAAAACATTTTGAAAAAAAATGAAGAGGGTAGAGGTGGAAAATGTTAAATATTTTTCACCCATTGAATTAATTATCTTCTCCCCAAATCTTTTTTATTTATATAGTTCTTAGCCTCAGGCAAAAATTTGTTCAGTGGATATGTTAGGTTTTTTTGTTGGTTTGTTTGAATAGGTAATATATTTCCTTAGCTCAAAAATCAAGACAGAAGACCCACTTCAACCCCTAGCCCCATCTATCATATCCCCCTTGGTTCCTATAGGCATCCAGTTTTTTTGTTTTTGTTTTTTTTTCTTAAAGATTTTTATTGGGGAATTGGGGGATGGAAACAGCGCTGGAGAATTGGGGGAAGGGAAACAGACAAGTTGCTGTCGTTTTATTCTTCAGTCTAGTTGTGGAGGATGTTGCTTCACTGGCCCAAGTTGACACCATCATTGTGCTCTTCCCGGGCGAGGCAGATCAGATGCTGGCTTCTGGACGGCCGCTCGTGGCTGCTGCTGGCCGCTCACACTGGCTGCTGGCTACACACAGTATCCCATGGCAACCCACTGCAGCAGGGGCTGCAGCCTACGCCCGTCGCTGGCGACTCAAGGCAGCCCAGCTCCAGGTTGAGCTGTTGTTCAGCATCTTAGCTGTAGAGGGCAGTGTCACTGGCCCTCATATGTGGGATCCGAACCGGGGCCCTCTGGTGTCCCAAGCCAGCTCTTAACCAATGCGCCACTCGGCCGGCCCAGGCATCCAGTTTTAATAGTCTCTAATTTATCCTTTTAGAATTTCCTTAGGCAAATACAGACATGAGTATATGTCCTTACTTTCCCTATTGCTTACACAAGTGTTTGCTGGTAACTTAACTGTATGCACTGAACTATATTTGTTTTATTTATGTATGTCATTATTACATGTACCTCTAAGAAATTATAAAATGCTGCCATTAAACTATGACACAGTGTGTTTGCCTATCACATTGACTGTAAGTTGGATCCCCAGGTCGAACATGAAAAGATATCTTACCAAGAGTGTATCCTGGCAGTTTAGTTTCTCCATATCAGCTCTCAGAGCTCTTATTTTTTGTGCCTACATAATATTCCATTCTATGGATGTGTTGTGGTATATTCAACCAGCTGTACATTGGATGGTTTCTAATTTTTTGTTATTATACTGTAATGAATAAGCTTGTATCATGTCTGTTGATACAAGTGCAGATATATCTGTAGGATAGATTCTCATGGATAGAATTGTGAGCCAAAGGGTAAAATAAAAAAGGGCATCCGTTGTTATTAAGATTGCGGTATTCCCCTCTGTAAGATGTGTACTATTTTACCCTCTACCAGCAAAATACAAGAGGCGTATTTTCCTCATTGTCAATATAGTGTATGGTGAAACTTGGATTTTGCCAGTCTGATAACAAATGGTATCTCAGCTGTTAAGATTTTCCTTCTCTTACCATGCATGAGTTTAAGTTTTTACTATGTTTAAGGGCCATTTGTGTTTCTTTATATTGGGTTGTTGGAAAAGGCATGACTTATTTTTTCTATGTTTTTCATTGCAAAAATGAGTCATGACTTTTCCAACAACCCAGTATGAACCATGTAATTATGAATTTTGTCTATTTTTCTATTCAGTTTTTCTGTTGAGTTTTTTTTTCTTTTTCTGGAGCTCTGATATAAGAGATTAACTCTAGCATATAAATTGTTTAGTTTTTCAACTTAGAGTATTTTTTTTGCAATGTAGTAGTTCAATTCATACATTGTAGGTTTTTAGTTTATAGATTTTAAGTCATGAAGCCTTCCCCTGTGAAATGTTACATAACTATTTTCTTCTAAAAGTGTTTCTCCCTCTCTCATATCCTTGGGTGGGGTGTTTTTTTTTTGTCTGGAGTTTATCCTGGTATACAGCGTGAGATACGGGTCCAGCTTTGATCTTTACCCAGATTAAAACTACACTGATTTCAATGATGGAAGCGTTATTGTTTGTTGTATCTGGTAGGGCTAGTCTCTAAATTTTGTTCTTAATCTTTTTCCTAGCTATTCTTTTTTATTTTTTTTAAGATTTTTTTTATTGGTGAATTGGGGGAGGGGAACAGACAAGTTGCTGTTTTTTGTTCTTCAGTCTAGTTGTGGAGGACGTTGCTTCACTGCCCATGTTGGTATTATCATTGTGCTCTTCCTGGGTGAGGCAGATCGGCTGCTAGCCGCTCATGGCGGCTCTTGGCAGCTCATACCCGCTGCCAGCCACTCATGGTAGCTTACGGCATCCCACTGCAGCTCCACTGCAGCCTACGCCATCGCTGGCGACTCACAACAGCTCAGCTCCAGGTTGAGCTGTGTTCACCATCTTAGCTGTAGAGGGCGCAGCATCACTGGCCCTCATATGGGATTTGAACTGGGGCCCTGCTGCTCAGAGCTAGCATCCCAAGCCAACTATTTTTTTTTTTTTTTAGCTGAGCCATCCTGCTACCTGTTGGCAGCTCAGCGGCTGCTCAGCTCGGGCTGGACTCGAACCGCTGTTGCTCAGAGCTCAAACTCTTGAGCGAGCTCTTAACCAACTGAGCTACTCGGCCGGCCCCCTTTTTGTTGATAGTTTTAATGCTTTCTATGATAGCACTTAATGTTTTAGAGAAGAAAAGCCTATGCCATGAAAATAGAAATACTTTAAGACCAGCTAAAATTAAGTGGCCAATTTTGTGTATTTGTTGTATTAGGTGAAAGTTTTATTTGTGAGAAACTTGGCTACTACAGTGACAGAAGAAATACTGGAAAAGTCATTTTCTGAATTTGGAAAACTTGAAAGAGTGAAAAAGTTGAAAGATTATGCATTTGTTCATTTTGAAGACAGAGGAGCAGCTGTTAAGGTAGAAATTTTTCTTCTTGATATTTGAATTCTATGTTGAAACCTGCTAAATACGTAAAGTAACTTTAAAAACTAAAATAAAATTGGTTTTCAGCTTTGCTGAGTTCAGGAACTTTCTTTTAATAATCTCTGTGAAGTGGTAGTGTAACAGGTAAGATTCCATATTTCGAAGCCTGATTATTACTAACTGGGTTTGTGATCTCAGGTAAGTTATTTTTAATCTCTGCGTTGTTTTCATAAGCCTAAACTTTGATAGCAGGATGCCCTGGAATGCTACAAGATATAGTAATTAGCAGCTGTAAATACTACACAGGCAATAAATATAACTACTTTGTTTACTTCGGTTTGTGGGCCTATGAAAGAAACTGAGCAGTGTACGTGACTTTACATACAGTGCAGCATGCTTAATTCACTAGATGTGTTCTGAGGAAATGATTAGTTCTTCATAATTTTTCCTTTCGTTAGTGATTTTAGAATTTTAATAGCATTGACTGTGTTTTGCCAGTTTCAATAGTTGTTAGATATTTCTTGCATATAATAGTTGATTTATTCCTTGATGATAGTGATGAAAAGTGTGAAAAAGGTGTTTTCATATGGTGTCTAGAACACAAAACCTGAATACTCTGCTGTTTTCTGTTGATAATGGATCAGCACCATCTTCGATGGGTGAAATTTCCAGGTTCTTCTTCCTCTTGTTCTCTCTCCTTTGGTGGGGAAAACACTAATAAAAGCCTTTTTATGTAATTGGGAAGATGGATCTAAAATCCTCAGTTACTCAGGCTTGGTTCTTTTTCTACATGTTCTGTCTATGGAGTGGTGCCACCTCTTAGCAATTTTTGCTTCCTGCCCAACGTACTGCTTTTAGTGTGCCTTATAGAAGAATCTTTGACTAGTTAGAATTTATTGGTTTGCTTTTTGATGACAGGTACTTAATTAGACAGTATTGCTTATAAAATTCACAGCTTAGTACAGAATTTAAAGTTTGCCTTCTGAAATTGCAAATGATATGAAACACTGATAATTAATAAATTTATACCTTCTAAATATTCCTTTGATTTAGTTGGTATTAAATAACTGGTTTATAAAAAGAGGATGGTTTGCCAAAGAAGTCTATGCAATTATAAAACTTGTAGCTCAACAACTGGGAATCGCATTCTTAGGGATGGTGAGGTGAGAGAGTAGGTGCTCCATTCTTTTGTGTATACCAAGACTCATTTAGTTTCTTTAGGTGAAGTAGCCAAAAGCTAAGGTGGTAAAGGCGAAAAATTAGTATCTAGAGGAGGACTGACTTAATCTTAGTCTAGATACTTATAAATCACCAAAGAATCTTTATGGATAGAGAATTTATGTATGTCCAGAAAGGACAAAGTATAGGGAAATAGAAAAGCTGTGGTGAGGAGGTGATATTTTGTTACTGAGTTACCTGAACCTTGAAATGTGGCAGAGGCTGTTAGGAGGAACAGCATAAAGGACTAGAACATAGAATGCTTTTGATTACTGCTTTCAGGTGAGTACTTGATTCTTAATTAGTTCAGGTCTTTTCTGGGCTCTGCTTTCAACTATTCAGGCAGAGTATGTTCCAGGTTAAGTGTTGGAAGGGAAACCTAGGCTTTCTTTGGTCAGTTTCTCATTGAATTTCACAGCTAACCTCATTTAGTAACCTCATTTGTGTTTCAAATCCTTGAAATTTTTATGGAAGAACAGTGTAAGACCTACATGTTGAATGCCATGTGATTTTTAAAATTTTGAATCCTGTAAAGTGTGGCATTTTTCACATATGTGGATTTGCTTCTTCGGTATGACAAAGATTTGAGGAGTTATTTGGAATTAAGGAACAGCAGTAGGGAATTCTGGCAGCTCTTTTACATTTTAAAATAGAATAGTAGGGCATCAGCTTTGTTCTCAATAGAGTTTAATATAAGAGGGTAAGATTGAAGGAAACAAGTACTTGTGTTTTTTTTTACTTTCTGGCTAGATTCATATTTTGCAAATTAAAATATTTAAGTAAATTGTTCATTAGTGTATCTACTGACACAGATATGTTTATGTAGTTGTATTTTAAAGTACTGTTACTTGTATGATAAATTTACTTTTCTAATTTTATGTAGGCTATGGATGAAATGAATGGCAAAGAAATAGAAGGGGAAGAAATTGAAATAGTCTTAGCCAAGCCACCAGACAAGAAAAGGAAAGAGCGCCAAGCTGCTAGACAGGCCTCCAGAAGCACTGCGTGAGTCTGCATTTTAGTAAATAGATCCTTGAACAGAGAATAACTTGATAACGGAGATCAGGTTAATAAAACAAAATCAGGAAGAGTCTTGAAGTAAACTAATTTGTTTTTTCTTTTCTTCCTTCCCTCCACTGTTAGGTATGAAGATTATTACTATCACCCTCCTCCTCGCATGCCACCTCCAATTAGAGGCCGGGGTCGTGGTGGGGGGAGAGGTGGATATGGCTACCCTCCAGATTACTATGGCTATGAAGATTACTATGATGATTACTATGGTTATGATTATCACGACTATCGTGGAGGCTATGAAGATCCCTACTACGGCTATGATGATGGCTATGCAGTAAGAGGAAGAGGAGGAGGAAGGGGAGGGCGAGGTGCTCCACCCCCACCAAGGGGGCGGGGAGCACCACCTCCAAGAGGTAGAGCTGGCTATTCACAAAGGGGGGCACCTTTGGGACCACCAAGAGGCTCTAGGGGTGGCAGAGGGGGTCCTGCACAACAGCAGAGAGGCCGTGGTTCCCGTGGAGCTCGGGGCAATCGTGGGGGCAATGTAGGAGGCAAGAGAAAGGCAGATGGGTACAACCAACCTGATTCCAAGCGTCGTCAGACCAACAACCAACAGAACTGGGGTTCCCAACCCATCGCTCAGCAGCCGCTTCAACAAGGTGGTGACTATTCTGGTAACTATGGTTACAATAATGACAACCAGGAATTTTATCAGGATACTTATGGGCAACAGTGGAAATAGACAAGTGAGGGCTTGAAAATGATATTGGCAAGATACGATTGGCTGTAGATCTACATTCTTCAAAAAAATTGGCTTAACTGTTTCATCTTTAAGTAGCAGTTTGCTGCCATTTGTATTGGGCTGAAGAAATCACTATCGTGTATATACTCAAGTCTTTTTATTTTTTCCTCTTTTCATAAATGCTCTTGGACATTATTGGGCTTGCAGAGTTCCCCTATTCTGGGGGTCACAATGCTTTTATCGTTTCAGGCTTCATTTTAGCTTCAAAACAACCTGAGCACACTGTTAAATCATGATTTTGCAGAACCTTTGGTTTTGGACAGTTTCATTTTTTGGATTTGAGATAGATTACATAGGAGTATGGAGTATGCTGTAAATAAAAATACAAGCTAGTGCTTTGTCTTAGTAGTTTTAAGAAATTAAAGCAAGCAAATTTAAGTTTTCTTGTATTGAAAATAACCTATGATTGTATGTTTTGCATTCCTAGAAGTAGGTTAACTGTGTTTTTAAATTGTTATAACTTCACACCTTTTTGAAATCTGCCCTACAAAATTTGTTTGGCTCAAACGTCAAAGCCGTGACAATTTGTTCTTTGATGTGATTGTATTTCCAATTTCTTGTTCATGTAAGATTTCAATAAAACTCAAAAATCTATTCAAAACATTACCTATTTCAAATTCAATTGTGTCATAAAACATTATTTTATTCGTAATCCTTGCAAGGAATATTGTTTTCAAACTATAAACTGCCTATGTGAGTGATCAAATTCATGCAAAATTTCTTGTCTATTCCAATATGTATCGTGGCTATCAGACTGAGGATTAGTCTAAATTTTAGTATTTATTCCAAATAGCACTTCATTGATTGGTGTTCTCTCATAGTCTCTTCTAATTTTGAAATTTTATCCTTTACTTTTATAAAACAGGTTCAAAGGCTTTTGAACATACTTGCAGGCATTGGATAATTTGTGTTGAATAAAATGGGGTTAGAGAAGCAGACTGCAATTTATTTTGACCCACATTCTTTCTATAAAGGATAATTTGTTGTCTGAAAACTTTATTTGCTGGATAAGTGAATGCATATGACAAGAAAAAATGTTAGTACTGTGGCGTCAATTGCACTGCGGACTAAACTCAGTATTAGTGTACATGATGGGGACTACCACTTTGTTATTGGTTTAGGAATATAATTTTCTATTGTTATGTAAATTTGCTTTGAGAAACACATGCCTTATAAGAGAGGCTTAAAAATACCTAGTAGACATACTTCTGACTTTCTGTTAATACTGCTTATTTTTATTTTTTTACTATCCCTAAAGTTTACTACCCCAAGGCATAACATCTATTTCCCTCTTTCCTTTAGAAATTCTCATTTATTATGACGACATTTTTGTTTGAGAATAAGAGGAACAAAAGAATCCAAACTTTACAGTGCAGAAAAGTCTGGATCACTTTCAAATTACCATAAAATTTTCCCTTTCGTTTTGTTCTTAGGTGGGTCTAAAATGTTTTTAAATTATAAAAATAGCCATTGGGGAATAATTAAAATGGACACATCTTTATTTTGTGTTTTGTTCCTGTTTGGTGTCAGCAATATTAGATTTCAAAATCATAAGTTGCTTAATTTTTTGTGAGTTTGGCTAGATCATATTTTGGGTTTCATAGCATCTCTTGATTTCGAGTAAGAAAATATTTGCTGATGAAAGTATATCTTATTTCTCTTTAAAAGTGCACTTAACTACATATACAGTAAGTTAACAGGCATTAATATTCCTATTATGTTTTTGTAAACTGATAAAGAAATTATATAATCTGTTTTAGAGTAGCTTCAAGTCAACATGGGTATCTCTATTTGGTAAAGCTTAGATCAGTTTGTTTTTATGCCCATGTGTACAAGTGAAGACACCAAACATGCCTTAAATGCTGCTTTTAAACTTAGAAAATACAATTTGAAGCTATAAATCTAAATTAGACTTAAATAAAACCCTGATTTTTATTTTTTGTTAAAGAAGAAGGGTCTACAAATAAAATTTGAGTTGTTTGTATTTCTTTAAAGTTTTATGGTACCAGCTACAAAGTTGTCAAGAAAATTAGGACTGGGAATAGAAATGATTCTGAAAAAGTAATTTATTGTGCTCCCCGCCCCTATCCTAAAATATAAACCTTAGCAAAAACATAAGAACAAAACTTGGGTTTCATGTCAAAGTCCTTTTAATTGTGAATTATATTTTACTCTCACGAACTAAAAATATATCAATAGAAATGTTCCTCTAATATTGCTTTATAGGGTTTTTTTGTGGCTATTTTATATAACAGAAGAAAACTTTATAAACATTAAATCTCACTTTAGAGCTTTTCCCTTGTTGATGTCTTGTAAACTATTGCTGTAGCAGCATTCAGAGAAAATAGATCCAGACCTCAACTTTTCACAGAAATAAATCTAACAATCTAATATATAAACCTGAAAAATGTCAGTTGAGGGAGGTCTTTAGATTTGCATTAGGTATTTTTTAAATAGGCACAAAATATGACTTCTGAAAAATTTGATTTTCTGCACTCCTGCCATCTTTTTTTGTTCCCCAACCTAATTCATTTGGTTTTATTTATGAGCCTGCTACAGTAATGTGTATGTTGGGAAATAATATATACTTTATATTGAGGTAGAACTCTTCTTTTTAGGTACCCACCTGAGATTGACATAAATATACCCCTTCCCCATAATGGAATGCTAATTTTTATTTGATCACTCATTTATAGCAGTTGCTTAAATGTATGTATTTATATGATGGTGTTTTAATTTTTTAAAAGCAAAAAAGTTCTAATAAGTTGCCAGATTTCTAGTAAATTCAAGTTTACTTGATCAATTGATATGGAAATTGAATTACTGTGGTTCTGTAGGTTTTTTTAGACAAAAGAGTTCAGCATAATTATTTTTTAGTTTTTAGTTACTAGGGTTATTCTGCATAAGAAAGCCCAATGCTTTCTGTTAGTAGATAATTTTTCTCTCATTTGACTTTGAAATCTGACTTAGGGGCTAACTCTCTTTAAAAAAGGTCAGCATGCATCAAAATAAATTATATACGTATTTTAAATTCCAAAAGAGAAGGGACATAAAATTCCATTCCTAGTATAAAGCCATATAATATTCTTGAAACTCATTACATCATTTGCCTCCTGCTCATTTGGATAATCATACCTACGTTTTATTAATTGTGTATTATTTGTAAAACCAAACCCTTCCAGTAAATACTTGCTATAAGGCTATTATTTGTCAATTAAAAAGACTTCTAATTATGCTAAAATTTGTTCTGATTTTCCAAAGAGAATTTTATTAAACTGAGCTGTCCAGTATTCTTAAAGAAAACCAACTGAAGTATGTGGAAGAAATGTTGATGTTCTTTATTATGTAGAGTCTTTTACTTGAGCAGTTACGAAAAAGCCTTATAGAAAGAGTGCACTGGACTTATAAGTGTGTTTATGTTTCTCTAAGAATGAGAGCTTCTGTTAACTTAGTTCTGAGTAAGCTGGTGGTTGGGTGACAAGACTAGAAAATCCAGAATGACAAATCCATTAATCAGGCATGTTTACTTTTGCATTAGAAGTTGGTTGATTAGTTCTTATTTTTGAAATGCAAACACCAAGCTTTAAAAATACTGCATATTTTATGTATTGGTCAGTAATTTAAATATAAATATTTAATTTGAAGTAGTTAACTGTTACTCTTTCTAGAAACGTTTTTTTTTCTTTTAAGATATATATATATAAATATATATATACATATATTTTTTTTATTTAGAGGTTACCAGAAGCTCTGGGTTTTTTGTTTTGTTTTTTAATCATTTTCAGATGTTATCCAGAAATCTGCAAGTGTACTTTTCCTGTTTTAACTCCTTCCTTTTATCACCTGACTATCAGGGAAGCGAGGTTGAGGCTGCCCTGACCTGACATGTCATGATGTCGACTTGCTAGGTGGGGTTCGCTGGGGACGATAACCAGTGGAATTGTTGGTAAGAACTTTATTTTTTCCTATTTTTTTTTTAAATCAGTAGTGGGGCATTAAGTATGGGAGAATGCCCATATCCTATAAGTGGGCATTTATGTCAGCCTTGCAGAAAGATAAGATTTTAATTTAAATAATTCTGTTCTTAACAGGAACATATAATAAGTACTTCATACTCTTTATGCTCAAATTGGTAGATTAGCAGGAACGGCCTGCAAGTATGAAGTAATGAAATACTCAGGGTATATTTTAAGTGATGAAGATAGACACTTTATTAGATAGACTAAATAGTCTTTTGGAGAGAAAATAAATTTGCTTTATTTTACTGTGATTTCAATCCCTTTAATATCTTCATTATATTTATTTACATCATTATATTTACATTTTTACTGGGTATGTTAGCATACAATGCATCTTAAGAGATGTTTACTAATACACTAGTATTAGTAAAAATAGGAAGGTGTTGATAGAATGGAGGGTTTAAACACTAGAAGAAATTATTTTTTAAAATCCTCCAAAAGAAATCTTAACGTTGTAAAATGAAACTTAAAAGTATTAGCAATTTGAAAAACAATAGTTGACTAAAGAACATTTGATATGACTTTGGGTCCATAGGAAAATACATAGCTGAAATATTAGGACCTTGAACATAGCAGAAACACAAATTAATTAACAACTTGTGTTTCGTCTGAAACCCAGGACAGCTGATAGGATTAGTAGGTATTGGTAGAATTAAGTCAATTTTTAGATGATTGCTAAAGATTAGAATCTTTTATACTCGGTAGGGGATTCCTTGATGGTAAAGTATAAATTGAGGAAATCAATAACTAGGTATTTCTGATTATACCACATGAAAATATAACAGAAGCACTAAAAATTAAAAGTAATTATGGATTGGAGAACCACCTCAGTATTCTTATGCCTCCTTGTTGGTTGAGTGTATCAGTCTAGGAAGACTCACCTAGGTGTTAAACGTGTGCTAGTTGATGTCATGAATATAAACCCTGATCTGTAAGCTTGCTGTAGATGAGCTACACATCACTGCAGTGAGATTATACTTTTAAGAATTTCAGTGATTGCATCATTGTGTTAAGGTGCTTGTTTCTCTTCAGACACTTTTTGTGCATGTATCAGTGATAGAAAAGATCAGGATATAGAACTTTAAATATTGCACTTAATAATGTGCTCCTTGGGAAGTTTTACAGTAAGCAATAGGAACATTCAGGTAGTTCTGAGCAGTTCATATAAGTTAAGGAAAACACAGTGCAAATTCATTGGCTTTTATACATTAACAACAAAATACATTTCATGGGACCAGAAAAGAAGGAGGCACTGTGGGGGAAAACTTACATTCCTCAAATATAAATAAGGGCTTTCATTTTATGTAGTAACTTTGTCAGGATCCCAGGAACATTGCTTTTCTTGATTTCTCATGATGGTTAGACAAAAGGGATTTCTGTAGTCTGTTCAATAACATAGGTAAATTGTACTCCTATTGTGTTTAGCATTGTGTTACAAGGCTGTTTCTATAATAGAGCTGAAAGCTCCTGTAAATATTATATTGCTGATATGCATATAGTAACATGAGAATATTAAAATAGGAACATTTGCAAGACCATTTAATCAGCAGTTTAATAAAAACCATGCTTTTGGTACGTTGTTCAGGTACCATAACTGTATTGGAATATTTGTACAATGTTAAATATTTTTAATAAAATTTAACATGTTCAAAATGTTGTGTTGGTGATTTTGGGTGGGGTGTGATGGGTTCAATTGTGCAAAACAGATTCTGTAGTTCTGTAATTGAGACTTTTGTAGTCAAATGGAGTTCCTGTCCTCAAATTTTGTACTAGGTTGGGCACCTGTTCAAGGGAAGGTAGTAAAGGAGTAAGATAGTAAAAAGACAAGGACTGAACTTGAGGGGGTTTATAAAAGTATCAGAAAGTAGCTTTACTAGGGTTTAGAGCTGGTCTACAGGTATCAGACAAATATTGGCTTTGGCATAACAGGCTGCTGACAATTTTCTGATGAAATTGTGGCATGTCTACATTAGAAATGATCCTAGAAAACATAAGAGGTGGACAAAAGGAAACACTTGTACGATACTTTCAGTAAGCATCTTATTCCCCCAGTGAGTGTCCTTAACCAATTGACATGACATACCAGCAAGTGAAGGAGAAATGATGAGAGAAATGAAGGAGAAATGATGAGGGAATAGTTGAGGAAGGCTGTGTTTAGATGCATCATCAGGAAATATCTCCAATGCACAAGAAATACCATATAGAGGGTCCCCTCTTTGTTTCTGAAAGTAAACTTTTTAAAGGTTTCTCATTTAATACTGATCCCATTCTCTTGAAGACAGCCCTAATTTAGTAGTATTTCTTTTGACCTCTTTTCCTTGGGGTATTCTTAGTTCCTGTAGTCAAAAAGGTAGAAGTCCTGCATCTCAGAACGGAAATTTACTTGAAGTAATGTGCTCATTCCTCTGCCGACTGTGCCATTAATAACAAAGATGAAGGAGGAAAGTGATGGACCTCTAATGATGTATAAACAAATTGAGTAAGAAGCTATTCAAAAGGAATAGTAATATGTTCTGCCTTTTTTCCTTTGAATGAAGACTTAAATATGAGCTATGGGGAAGAAAAAGTGATTACACTTTTTTAAGATAAGAAAGAGTAGACAAAATACCTAGGCCAGTATTTTCCAGGAAGAGTTTATTATTTTTGTTTTCCTCTTCTCCCCAAATCGACACTGAGATAGGAAGAAATGTTCTAACAGCAAAATATCTAAATTTGGGCACCTTTAGGTGTTGGCAGAGCTGGGGCTAGGGTGGGACAGGGTGGGGGGTGGCACAGCTCACTGATTTGTAGTGTATTTTTTCCAAAAATAAAGGGAGGTTGCTTTTGACAGTCATTTTATTTGTTTTTGTTTTTGTTTTAGCTGAGCCATCCTCCCACCTGTTGGCAGCTCAGCGGCAGCTCAGCTCGGGCTGGGCATTGAACCGCTGTTGCTCAGAGCTTGCACTCTTGAGCGAGCTCTTGACCAGCTGAGCCACTAGGCCAGCCCTTGACAGTCATTTTAAACTTAGACTCTATTGGTATCTTTTTGCTCTACCTAAAGCCTTGAATTTATTTAGCTTATTTTTAGAAACAACAAAATTTTATTAGGTATTTTCCTGTAGGGTATATTATATTCACATATGGGAATATCTTTTGCCTATAGCTATGAAAAAAAATTACATTTCTATTAGATTTGAAGTTTGTGACCAAAATCACAATCATATATAGACATTTCCTCAAAAACTAATAAGTAAGAGTAGTGTTTCATTCTACTATTTACTTAAAATTCCCAAAGGGTGATTTTTAGGTCTAGCCATCCATATAAGAGGACAGGAGGTTAAATTAGTCATAAAATTACACAACATAGTCATGCCTTTTAAAATAAAGTGAGATTTGGTTACTGTAAAAGTCTTTTCCATGGGTAAAAGCAAAGATCAATATTGTCAAGTATAGTAACTGGCAAAAGAGCTCAACCTTAGGTTTCAAATATATAAAGGGGAAAATATTTCCTTAAATGTAAAATATTACATTATTGAAGATGTCATATATATTGAACACTTTTTAATAGAATTGGGAGACAGACATTTCTATACAGGTGCTTTGGGGAATCTCATATGTCAGGAATCCTTTAAATGTGCAAATTTAAGTTGCCTAGGTTTTTAAATAAATTAAGCAAAGGTTAATATGTTTTAAAAGACTATTACTGTTTTATCAGTTAAATCACTATTTTGAAAATTCTGTCATATTGATGAAAATACTATCAGAACAAATCATTTTCATTTGAGCATATTGATTATAATGGTGTTTATGTATTTTGCTATTCAAGCACCTGAATTGGTTTGGTCAGAAGCACTTGGGTATACTTCTGGCAACTTATGACATAACCAAATATTTTTGGTTAGATATGGTACATGTTTAATATTTGTTTGTCAAATTGAAACTTTTCATGCTTCCTGTTAATAAGCACCTTACCAAATTAGTTATATTTAAACAAGCCATGTTGAGTTGGTGCAGAAAACAATATGATCTATTAAAATATAACCAACAATAAATACTATTACTGAACTTTTTAAATCAAAGAGTAATGTAGGTATGTTTGTTAGTTGTAATGTCATTTCTATTTGACGTTCCAAAATGTGTGGGTAAAAAAAGATAAATGAGATCATTTGTTGCATTTATCAAAATTTTTAAATAACTTGTGATGATTTTAATTTCCTAGTTAAACTGTTTAGGTCACAATTCACCATTGAACAGTTTCTGACACTTGAACGTGGGTGGGAATCCCTGGAGATTCTGTTAAATGCAGGTTCTAATTCAGTGTATTTGAGATGGGGCAAAAGTCTGCATTTCTAACAAGCTCCTGGGTGATGCCTGTGTCCCTTGCTACACTTGGAGTAGCAGGGTTGTAGACTGATTATCTCACATTTGGGGAGAATTTCAGAGAGTAGACCTTAGTAGAAAAGATACCAACGACAGATGTTTGCAATGGTTTGCAGGATTTAGATGGTCCAGTTGGATCTAGTTGGAGATTATAAAAACTTTGGTAAAGGCCACCACAAAAGTTAATAATCTTTAGGATCCCAAGGAAAGGTTAGAAGTATAGTCTTAAAGAAAAGGAAATGAATTTAGAAAAACAGGCTTTAATAATTTTAAGGAATTGGTAGAAAATAACAATAGGAAGGAAAAGGCAAAAGAAGATCAGGTGGCTGAGGAAATGTCATGGCATGTTTATTTAGGAATTACATCAGAAAACAGGTTACAAGAGTCATAGAAGCTAAAATAAAAATAACTTTTGGGAGCTCCAAAGGGAAGGTTAATAGGTTACTAAAAATATCCCCGTGGTTTTTTGGATTTTTTTAACCTCTAACCACACCAAAAAAAAATGTTTAATACTTATTAATTAGATCAAAGGAAATTTTGGATGGTGACAAGCTAAAGCAGATTAAGGAAGAAAATCATTAAAGATGACTTAATAATTTATATGGATTAATATTAAAAAATGGGAAACCTTTCAAAGAATAGAAATGTATTAGCTTTTATATAAACGGTGTAGAAGGTAGTCCCTGATAACTGATAAAGTATCTGATTTTCAGCGATAAATCTTTAAAACTCTTTAAGTTATGCCTGAAATAAAGCCAACCTAATTCAAATTTAAAGTAAAATAATTTTTTCCTAAAGTGGATTGGTAAAATGTGTGTGTGTGTGTGTGTGTGTGTGTGATGATAGTTCATTTGTCATTTGTTTTTTTTTTCCATCATTCATTTATAAAAATTTAGGCCCAAATACCACTGGACTTAAGAAAGCCTTTTTTACCTAGATAAGCTTATGCTTGTGCCACTTTCCAAATGACTTAAAAATGAAAAATTTCACTTCCACATATTTTGTTGATTAAACATATTAGTGTTTAAGCATTTTTAAAGTGTTGGTATATCAAGCCATCCTTATCATTTAATACCTGATTTCAGCCCTTCTATATGTTTCAAGGACATGGCGGAAGAGTTTGTTAATGGGCTTCACTTTTCACTTATTAGACCTGAGAGAGAAAGAGAGGGAGGGAGGTAAAGAGGGAAAAAGGGAGATAAATAGATAGATGGATGGATGGATGGATGGATGGATGCAGAATTACACATAAAGAAGCATGCTCAGCTCTAAAATTGGTGATGTGGAGAACCTACTTTCCTTATGCACTCTTACAGAAAATGTTATCTTCCCTGAAACAGAAAGAAAGGTGGTCTTACGACATTTTTTAAAAAAAATAATGCTTTATAGATTATTTAGGATATTATCTGCTGTTCTATTTCATGAAACTGAGCCATACAAAAAACAATATATAGGTCAACAGACATCAGCGTTTTTGTTAAGAGCCTATATTCTTCAGGACTGTAATATCTTGCTTCTAGAATTCTGTGTAATTTGGTCCGCTGCTTAAAGGGTATTTCAGAATATAATCAGGGATTCTTAGCACTCACCAGTCCTGATTTTTTTTTCCCCCACCAATCCTGAATTTAAGGTCACTGTGACAGTAATGTGACATTGTATTAGGGAGAAGCTTAAGGCTTATTTAACCATTACTAAGCTCTCAAGTCATTTGAGTTTATAACTGATCAGTTGATCTGGCTGTAAGAAAACTAGCTCTCCTTTAACAAAAT